TTGGGTTGTGAGATGTTGAGGCTCCCACATTATCTAGACAATTGGCTTAAAGATGGTGGTAAGGTTGTCAGCCTCGCACGTCTGCCGCGCTTTACTCCCCAGGGAGATTATTCAATAAATTCCTGGTATTCATTTCTGTTAGAGGCTGAGTCGACCCCAGGGCCATAGTGTGGCTGGAAGGATTAGGTCAACTGAAAAAATCCAATGGCCTCATTGGGACTTGAACCCGCGACCTGTAAGACACTAGACAATTATGGATATATTTGCCATTTTCTGAACATGAGACGTTAAATCTCTTACAGCATTACCAATTACATATTGCATATATGTAAATTCATTTTCATGAGCACTATAGATACAGGTAAAACTAGTCCATGCCCAATAACTATGATATTAAGACCAACACAATAATCTCATTGCAGTACTCAATATGGAAACACACATCATACACAGTACAGTATGTTAGATTCCTACCAATAAATCATTAGACAATGAAGTCAGAAAGAGCCTAACCACCAGCCCGAACTTCAGCCTAGCACTGTGCACGGTTCTACATCTTAACTCAGAAAGATTCAAAGCAGCACAAATAATGTTGATAACATGGACGAAGCACTTCAGAGCTATTCTATACCTAGTTCTAGAATCTAGCTGCACATAATCAAGACTTCCTGCAACACTCTCCATTAAAACGTTTACAAAAATTACAGCCAGAATAGTACTTGAGGTAAAGTTGTCCCTGCGCTTAAATATCACCCCATGAAGACATCCAGTGTGTGGAGGCAGACATGTATACCGCGTTATCCTGGCTCAAGTATTCAAGCAATCCAAAGTGTATTATGTAAATACACTGAATGTCTTCCAGATATCCTAACAAAGGCATTTTCCTTGAAACTCCATGTGATACTTACATTCCAGGCACTCTTCCAACAGGTCCCTTTATTATATAAGACAAAATACCTGAAATTTGTAATTTTTTCTTCATTACAATTCACAGAAGCTGATGGAGGTATTTGGTCCCATTTCATTTACCTTTGTTGTATAAACTGCATGTAAATCAGTCCTGATGACTACATAACTGTATAAGCAGAAAACAAATCCTGCCTCCAGCAGCCCATGCCCTCTAGCTCACAATAAGTACTCACCTTCATACACCACCTTTGCTGTGAAATGTAAATTTTATTGCACAGAATTACTGGGTTTTCGGACTTCTTCCATCGTCCGGAATTCTAGGTAATAGAGGACACGACGTTTTGGAAACTGGATCTATTCCATCTTCAAGTGAGAAAGGAAGACACCTACTCAGTTGGGTCCCTTAGAAAGAGCTAATCACAATCACTGGATTGATATTAGCTCCTTCTAAATGGCTCAAGTGAGTAGGTGTCTTCTTTCTCACTTGAAGCTGGACACAGATCCAGTTTCCGAAACATCGTGTCCTCTATTACCTAGAATTAGTATGGAAAAAGTCCAAAAACCCAGTAATTCTGTGTCATCCACCATCGCCAGAACACTTTAGAATCTACTTGTAAATTTTATTGTTTTGTCATGATGTGGATGTTGCATCAAAAGCCTTAAATGACTTAAACCAATAATGCATCTTCATGGATCAATATAAAATATTTTACTTCTTTCAACCCAGTCCATGGTAAATTTAAACACCATCCACTGAAAGGGTGGGTAAATTTAACAGCAATGATCTATATTTTGGGATTAAGAACAGTCTAAAATGTTTGGGGGTCCTCAACATAGTCTCCTTCGATTGCAGTAGCCGTAAAATGAATCACAAAAAAAAAATGCCGGGAGAATCAAAATGAAACATCCTACGACTGCAAATTTTATAAACAGTGCTCTCTGCCCCTACAATACAAATTGTTTCTGTTAACTCCTGCTACTGCAGCTGACCTGGCTCATTCAGTCACGTTACTCATGTTCCAACACAAGGACGAGTTATGCTGGCAGGCCCATATAAATTTCAGATGTTATGACACCCATCAAGGGCAAGGAAATTAATTCTTCCTCCTTTCTTTAATCAATTTCAGTTTTCTTCCTTTCATCCATTTTATATCCTTACTTCATTCCATCATTTCTTCCTTATTGCTTTCCTATCCCTTTTATCTGTCCACCATACCATGTTCTCCCTTTCTTTCTCTACCTGCTTCACATTACATAAATTCCCTTCTCCCCACTCTTACATGCCTTTATCTCCTTGCCTTCTCTATGCACATCCCATCATCATTACTCTGTCGACATCCTGGCAATGGCAGAATATCTACATTTCCCTCATATTGCAACAACAGTGTGTTGGGGGTTCCCAAAGCTTGACAAGAACTGGCTACTATTTAAATGCAGGCCTTTCATTTAAACTTCAGTTAGCAGAATAAGCAATTCCTCAATTCTGTCTCTTGAATGTATGAGGGTTAGGCCTTCTCAGCCCTTGCACTGTGACCTACAGTGGTATATTGTGCTTAATTGTCTCTTAGTCTGGCTTCCAGATTTTGGAGGTGATTCCTAAATGTATAGGAAATTTGTGCAGGCCTGCATATTGGAATAAGCGTTCCTCTATGGTCTAGTGGTCAACGTTCCTGCCTACAGATCCAGAGGTCCGGGTTCGATTCCCAGCGCTGCCAGATTTTTTCTGAGTAATAGTGGGTCTGGAAAAGTGTCCACTCAGCCTCATGATGATAACTGAGGACCTACAGCGGCTCCAGTCTAGAAAACCGGAATTAACATCCATGGGGATTTGTTGCGCTGAACACATGACACCCTCTAACCACAAAAGCTGGCACTAAACTTCGCCAACACGCAGCCGTCACTCGGTCGGTATAGTTCGCTTGCAGACTAAAATCACGGAGTCTGTTTCTGTTCATGATATGTTAAAAAAGTGACTCCACAAAGGAAACAGAAGAGTCTGGTTTAAATTTCAGGATTTTGGTTCCATGCTCAAGACTTATTCACAGAACTATAATGTACAGAGGAGTGTTACTGCTGCAGGAAGACAATGGATGAAATCAGTTTTCAAATTTCAAACATACCTTTTGACCTCTACATCGTTTATATCTGCAAAACCACACCGCAAAAATTTACAGAGCCCTCACACAACAGGGCTGAAGGCAAATACCAAGACAGCCTCTCTTCCCACACACTTCAGCACTTGAATATAAACTTTGCGGTGTCAAGAATGCGCATAGAACAGAGAACATTTCCAACATCAATTCCACTCTTGATTTTGTGGTTTTGAAAGATTCTGTGGATTATGAGTTATGTCCACATCTCAACAGACACTACTTCAAGAAGCGTTTCCAAATTGTACACCCCAATGGTTCACTGTATTTATTAGTATTCCATCCAATGTAGTGTGTTGGTAGTATCCTAACTTGATAACAAATTCAATAAAACTGAAAGTACAGGTGGGGGAGCCCTGGCCACTGCTTACAAAATCAACATGTCTGCATATAACCGACCTGCCACATACACATACTGAAAACCATGGATTACAGGAAGTACTATTGGGTTCAGGATGATTCACCACTTTAATCATCAGAAAACACATGATCAGTTCACTGCCAGCCAGGCTTTACTGGAATTTTGGAAATGTAAAATCGGTATACTTATGCAAGCTGGGTAAAACTTCACAAATCAGGTCTGGACCGGATAATTACATAACATGCCATGTTCGGTTGGGGACGCCATTCATGTGATATTTTGGTGGTGGTGGTGGTGGTGTGGTGGCTATCCGTAAGAGGGCATGGGGGTGGTTGGAACCAGGAACTTGCTTCATGCAACATGAATTCCAAAACAGTAAGTCACTTTTGCATTCCAATATGGAATATACTTCTTAAGTACAACATCTGTACACAAAGAATTTAAAAGCTTGAATTTCATTCCAACAGAATTCCACATTGTTTCTCTGTTGCAATTATATCTATACCTGAAAACTGCATTCAGACATGATACACATACAAATTATTAAACTGTACATACTTTTTGAAAATAGGTCACTGCATCATCTGCCAGTAAATTTAATTGGTATATTTACTGCACAGGTCTGAAGTAACAAAGTGAAGTGACCCTAATTCCAAGACAACATATCACAACTACAAAGCCACTGAACCAACCTGGATCAGCAAAGACAAGTTGGGTGGTACAGGCAACTAGGAACAAACAATGATAGGTAAAGCATAACCACAAAGTCATTGCACTGCCCCACTTGTACCGGACTGTGCATATCCAAAACAAGGCATTCAGAAATATGCAAAAATTTCGTTTAAACTTAGGCAATAATAATCTGCACAAGCAGCTAGTCATACAAATAACCAACAACATGTGCACACTATTATACCAACACTGAACAAATGATGGGTGAAAATATTACAAGTATTTTGCTACAGGAAATCAAATTTTACAACCTCCATGGTCTGACGGCTAAAATGCTATGGAACAAACATGAGACGTTTCTAAAATACAATTACAACTTCTCGGTAGCAGTTGCTCATTACAAACCATGTGCCTCTTATGTGCGGGGGGGGGGAAGGCGGTTCTTACAGAACGCGTGGGTGGATGTCGCACATACATATGCACAAGAATTTTGCGTATAAATGGGCAACTGGCATGTTAACACATGCTTTGTCTCTAATATTACACAAACACGCCATTTCCATCTAATTAATAACTGCCTGCACTTACTGGTATTAATTAATCCGGCAACTGCTCCATTACCTTATTACGTGAAACACGTGCAACCATAAAGTCCAATACATAGCCTTCACTGTTAACTGTACGAATTTCTAAATTTAGCCGCGTTTTATATCACAAATCACAGTTTACAATATGCAATCAAGTATTGGCTCCATCCTTCTGCGGTTAAAAAATAAAAATTTCAAACAAGATTTGTACACGAATAATTATGGCGACTACCTAGATGCTTAGTCGTTGCAAATGACTTTGTACAGGGACTTTTATGTTAAATTCACATAAACGGTTTAAGGAATAGTTATAAAACATACCTTTATACACTCAGGATATAAAACTGGCAGGTCCAGGAATACCGGGATTGTTTCTGGGGTGTTCAGGTCACAAATGAAGGATCACAATGGAGTTGCGTCAGGCTTGCAGCGATGTTCCAAGGACAAAGTGATGAAAATGGCGCAGGGGACGCTACCAGAAAGAGTCCGAAGTATTAAATATTCTTCCGCGTATTGAAAAGCATATAATATTTGAGATTTCAGCAGATAATTTTGAAACATACTTTAAAATATACTTATTTGCGTTCAATATACATTATAGTTGCAAGCTTCTCTATAGATATTTTATTATGAAAGGAGATCTATATTTTTACTAGGGATTTACCTCTATGTGATACTGCAACGGTCAGCAAGGACTATATTCAACCTGCGTAGCTCTGGGACCACTGATATATAGTTTATAGCAAATCTTGCGTCGTCTGTGAGGCCAAGATAACACCAAGGAAACTGGCAACCGCAACGCAACCGCAATTTCCGAGAACTGTTATCAGCCTGAGTTGAACACTTGTTACTGAAGGGAGCAGTACTAATAGAAGAACATAGTTTCCTCAGTTTGCGCTGCTCCGTTCAGTAACATGTGTTCAACTAAGGGCTGATAATAGTTCTCCGAAATTTCGGTTGCGTTTCGGTTTCCAGTTTCCTTTGTGTGAACTTGCTCAATTGTCTTTATGTAGTTTTCCTAACTACAGACCGGTACAGAGTATAGTCGTATGTTGGTAGTGAATGACACGAATAAACTACAGCTCGTGCTACAATGTAACATATACATACTAAGAGAATTCTAATCCGTTCAAAGTAGTTCTAAGTATCAAGCAGATTTATCCCAAATTATGATGGTTATGTTGGTATTCGGTACTACGGATCGCAACGGATAACCTATAGCTCATGCTTCAATCTTACCTACGTAAATGAACTTAAGTCCGTTTACAGTAACACGTTTATTTCAAATTATGATGCCTGACATTATGTTTATATACGTAATATTCTTACAGTTAGATTCTGCCGTTCATTTAAATGGAACTAACTTCAGCAAACCATTAAAGTTGTATACCGTAATCGAACTGGTCGTCCCTGGGTTCCATGGGCACGATAATCAAGTTAATGATAACGAACGTCATGCATTTCCTGCTGATGAAATATATTACATAATATAGAATTAACGTACAACACAACAAAAACAAAAGAGACTGCTGTGTACCCTATCGTAAACGTATCATTCCTTTGCATGTCGCGTGCAGTATGCAAGTACAAGTGAAGTACAATCACACAAGTCCAGGTCTTCGCCAGAAGTAATTGTCACTGTAATTTCAGTCAGTCTACAGAAAAGAGTTCGTGTTGTGCTAAGCCATGTATTGTAAAGAAAAACAAGCTCTCATATCAAAAGAATTCTCGAGGCTGGAAGGTAAGAAGGTAGTAATGAGGGGACTGTAAATTCAGCCGTTGTCAGCTCCTGTATTTGAAACTTAGTGTGCGCAGCACCCCTGGTTCTTTAACAGACCAGAGGGTTTCAGTGTGTCATATACCCTAAAACTAAGTCTTTGTATTAGGATTCCTGGCAAGCAGAGATTTACATGAGTGGGCATATGTTATATGGGACACCATGACACCTGTTAAGTCAACACTTTTTTTTTTGTCTAACCAAAGATATTTAGAAACAGAAAAATACGACGTTATAATACTGGTATATACATTGTTTTGCAATATACATTGCAGAGATTCAAGTAAGGGAGATGCCCACAAATTCAAAAGTGTAGCATATATAACACTCAGAAAATGCCCAGAAATACAATTACAGAAGCAGTGTTAAACATAAAGACATAGACTGCATATTTACGTTATTAATTCCTTACAGTTATACAGTATCTGTGATGACATGGAATTATTTTCTGGGGCAATTCTTCATACATGACAAAACTTTTATGATCCAAAAGAATGTTATAAGGATTATGATGGGATTAAAGAAAAGATATTCATGTAGAGACTCCTTCAAGGAAATGAAAATTCTGCCTGTGTGTTCTCAATACATATATTTCTTGATGCAGCATTCTATAAATAACATACATTTGTTTACAAGAAATATGGAGGTACATAATATTGGTACCAGACAGAATGTTAACCTATTTCCACCGAGTACTTCACTTACTAAAGTTCAGAATGGTACATATTATTCGGGTATACAAATCTACAGTCATCTGCCTAAAGAGCTCAAACAATTATCCAATAACCAAAACACCTCTGAACGTTCCCTAAAAATATTTTTACATGCTAACTCTTGTTATGCATTAAATGAGTATTTTAATTACAAATGTACATAAATTTGAATGTTTTAATGCTGTATTTTAATATAGTTAGTACAGGATATGTGAAAAGTTATATTAATTCAAGTTATATTGTAATTACTTTTAAATATGCCTGTTCATCAAGATACTGTCATTTTACCTCATATTATTGTATATGTTAATTAATTAATGTAGGTGATCTTCATTATGTGACTTTGTGTATGTAGAGAANTGATATGACTATTTCCACATCCTGGGTCTGTTACCTGTATGGATAATTATGGAAAGTAAAGGATATGTATGTGTGTAGTCAAATTAGAAATGGGTGCAAGAATACATTAGATTGAAAAGACATGGTTCCAACCAAATTGATATAGTAAATAACTATACATCCATGGTCCATACAGTTCTCAATTCAAATCTGAATATTCATATTCATATTCCATGTATACAAAATATTTTACTATACATTAAAAACCAAATTGTGCAGCTCTGCTTGCTGCCTGACATACTCTTTGATTTTGAAGACAGAAACAGTATGTCTCTCTGAAACATCAGGTGACTTTCACCAGACTACATGGCATCATACAGCAAAGAGACAGATTTCTTCATAGCCACTGCTGTGAAAACATAAAATCCAATAAAGAACCATATTTTCTCTTCTTATATATAATGATATCAAGTTATGTATATACAGGTGGTTCACATTAGCCTTTGGTTGGTTATACACCCTGTATTTGACAGTTACTGTACTGTTTTTATGTTTCTGTAATATAAAACTCTCACGTTTCATGATGTTATATTAATGAATGAGAGAGAGAGAAGACTGATGTAGTTATTGAAAATATCTCAGTGTTAACAGGATTCATTGACAATTGATTAACCATCATCATAGTCACTGAACAAGTGGAAATTTATTAAAAACTTCTGACACCCATTGTTTACAGGAGGCAAAATATTACGTTCTAAGATCCACAATCTACTTACTTCTATTTGACATAAGGTGGGCAGGTCATGTAGCACGAATTGGGGAGAAGAGGAATGCGTGTAGAATGTTGGTGGGAAAGCCAGAAGGAAAGAGACCACAGGGAAGACCAAGGCGTAGGTGGGTGGACAATATTAGAATGGATCTTAGAGAGATAGGATGGGATGAGATGGATTGGATAGATCTGGCTCAGGATAGGGACCAGTGGAGGGCTTTTGTGAACATGGTAATGAACCTTTGGGTTCCACAAAATGCTGGGAAATTCTTGAGTAGCTGCAGAATTGGTGGCTCCTCCAGAAGGGCTCAGCTCCACGAGTAAGTACGTAAGACACCCATTGCTTGAGAGCAGGACAGGATACTCTTAGACCTGTGTTCAACATAACTGAATTATCCACATACTTCCTTCAGCAACATTTCTGCAATATCCATATTGCAGTCTTCTGGGTTTACATTGTACAGTATATTAGCTGGTTAGTAATGTTTTGCAGGAATGTACAAACTCCACTTCAGGGTAAAAATCTGAAACTGGAAACAATATATACCCCTCAAATATTGGTAGCCACATATCAGAATACACTCTGTCATAACTGAGATTACCTCAGCTTCTGTCTTCACTCTAATGAAAACCTAAAATCTCATATACCTCAAATATTTTGATAACTGTTGCTTCAATATTAGAGGCATTCTTGAACTTAATGATTCTCAAATTAAGGAGTAATACAAATTAATGATCATAGTCCAGGTTTACAATTTATCAACATTACTTTATTATTAACAGAATCTACATTTTTCACCTGAACCTGTATAGAAACATTCTTTTCATTGATTGTGCAGAACACATACAAATACACCTTTTCCTTCTGCTCCAAGCACTACTAATTTCCATTTAAATTCATCTTGCAAATTACAAGGAATGCATAATTATGTGTACTTAAAAGATTGTGTAATGCATGTTATGTGCCCAAATTAAAATTCCTCTTACACACTTGTTGCTCTTAAACAGTAAAGATTTTTCCTTTTTATTCATGAATTTAATACACAACATACTTCATGTGAGCACACTATCCTTTTTTTTTTCCCTTGGCACTACAGCCCCAGTGGGCCTAGGCCTACCTCCACGAACTTCTCCGTTCACTTCGGTTTTTCTAGATCTTACACATTCGGTAGGACTCCTTGGGCAGGTGATCAGCTCATCGCAAGGCCTCTACCTGTACACAAACAAACTAAACATCCACGCCCAGAGTGGGATTCAAACCCATGATCCCGGATTCCAAGAGAGCGAAGACAGTACATGTGAGCACACTAATTATGGTACACTATTATCATATTGCGCCCTCACCACAGACATGGAGGAGCATAATATCAGTATGCACTGATAATTCTGTTGACTTGACCATGTAACCATCCACAGGTGTGTGCTACTTGGATCACACAGGAGCCACACTGTATGCAGAGAGTCAGATCAAAGCCATAGCTGAAGACCTGTGTCAGAATATGTATGGAAACCCTCACTCCCTGAGCACTAGCAGCCGATATTCTACCGATGTGATAGACCAGATGCGATACAGGTGTGTCTGTTATACTGATGCCATAATGTAAAGGTTCAGAACTTTTCATTTCACACTGATTACTTTCTTCACATCACTGCTGCTTTTTTTCCTATTGTGTTGTCAACTTGCACAGGACAAAGATGGCAATTGCAGCTGAGGTGTATATAATGTATTTGAAATTCGATCCAAGCTGCATAATTTTTAGTGCTTACAAAACTGGAATATTATAATGGTCATTATTGCACCACAACTAGACAAAACTGTTGATAAGTTCTATGTATCTATAGCATGTTTTCAGGAATAGTGTTCTTGTGTTTGACCTACCAGAATTGTAGTTTTCAACCTTTCTTTCTGCTTAAATCTTGTACAGTTCTGAAGTTCTTAGCCATAATATCTATCTGCCAAAAAGAAACAGATCTAGATGGTAGCTTCAGAAAGTTTTGGAACAGGAATCATGTTAGCATCTCAAGGACTCTGTTGCTTTGATTTCGTACATATATTTATCAAAATAATTTTACCTAAGGACATGAAATAATTTTCTTCTGTGTTTTATGTACCTCTTCTTGGGAATGATATTCTTTATGATATTTGGTTCTGTGTATGATGAGCTGTTTTTGAAACATGTAATAAATTATAAATTATATAGGAATGTTGAGAATGCCAGTGTATTCTGGAAGTAAGCTTTCCACTGGTTTTTAAAGCAAATGGTTATTCAATATACACTGATTTATGTACAGGGTGCTGCAGCATTTCAATACGAGTCTGAATGACTACAGTGTGATCTTCACATCTGGGGCCACACATTCCCTCAAACTTGTGGCAGAGTCATTTGATTGGATAGGCAGTACCACAAAGAATGACAAGTTTGTATCCAGTCAAAATGGATTTAAAGAAAAAGGAACCAATGGCTGTATACTAAAGACTGACTCATATTCTGATGGTAGAAATGCAGGAACATTTATGTATTTGCAAGACAACCACACATCTGTCCTTGGAATGAGAGAACTGGCCAGAAAACATGGAGCAGCTGTCTGTTGTCTCCCACATGAGGAAGCTTTTCAGTGCTTAATGCACTGTGGATGCCCTGACTTAGATGGATCTTCAGTCTGCGATGGAAATTCTTTGTTTGTGTACCCAGCACAGTGTAATTACTCAGGACTTAAGTACCCTCTCTCTTGGGTTTCTAAAGTGCAGAATGGCTTGCTGAACTGCAAAACAGAGCACAAGAGACAGTCAAAATGGTTTTGCCTACTGGATGCTGCTTCATTTGTTTCCACAAGTGTCTTGGATCTCTCACAGGTTCAACCTGATTTTGTGTGCTTGTCATTCTACAAGGTTTTTGGTTATCCGACAGGGCTAGGGGCCTTGTTGGTCAAGAATTCAAGTGCCTTTGTCTTAGAGAGATGTTACTTCGGGGGTGGCACTGTTCTTATATCACTTAGTTCACAATGTGAACATGTCCCTAGACCAGCATTGAGTGACAGGTGAGTGGCTTTTTTGTTTAATTGTTGTAAGACAGACCTATTGCATGGCTTCAGTTGCTCATTTATAATCTCACAAAAAACTACATGAAATAGTATGTTAAAATTATAAAATATATTGGTTCCATTTTGTTCTGAATAAAAGTAAGTTAATTTCCCTTAACCTATTCAATTGATTGAACCTACATCAAAATGAACTTCCTGCAACAACTTCAGTAGTGTAACATTCTTGAAATAAAATAAATACAGGAATTGCATCAGCACATGCAGCACTTCTTTGGGTTCCAGGAAGACCACAAATTAAAATGACATCACATCATGCATCTAAACAATAAAAATTTGATGGACTACATGCTGTACATGTACATAGTACTCTTCATAACCACCGCTGTGAGAACATCAAATCCTACACTATAAAAACTAAGATTGCTGAAGTTGTCACTTCACATACTCAGTTATAATTTTTAAGAATTCTTCATTTGCTCATTTCAGTCTATTATTTATTCATTTGATTTTGACTTTCAGTGCCAATTTTATCTATACTTGTCAATGTGGCATGGCTTAAAATATATATATTTTTAAATTACCATTATTATTTGTGATCACTTTCATGTAATTCTTTCTGCAGGATATTTCCAACATTATTTGGAATGCTGAGACCCTTCTCATTATACATATGAGGAGCATACAAGAAATTTCAGGACTAATCATGTTCATAATATTGCAATTGGAATCAAATGTTGAGACATTAGAAATCTCCTGTTGCATATGTGAGCACCACCAGATTATTCTCCAAGGGAGACGCAGCCAGAAAATATGTTTACAAAGTTATGTTTAATCAATTTAAGGCTATTTTTAGTGACCATGTAGAGTAATTAGGATAGAATATATTTTTTTAAGTATGTTTAACTTCTGTCATTAATATCTGGTAATTTCCTTTTTTCAATTTTGACTGATACACTTCAGTTGCTTCCTAGCATGTGTACCAGCTGAAAAATAGCACTGGAAGCAACTAAACAGGTCATGCCTACCACCCTGTCTATCCATGCATTTCATCAGTAGTAGTCATCTTCACTTAACATTTAACGTTGTTGGTATAACCACTAAATATGTCATTACCTTCATTCATCACCCTTTGCCTTCATATCTATTGCTCTTGACAGATTTTCATACCCACTCTATAAAGTATGAACATCATGAGTTAAGAATCTGCTAGCAGCAAAGTCTGTTCAGAATGTGTGACTGCTGATATTTTGTGAGTTTTAATTTCTAAGAAGTTATTTTTACTGTCCATTGGAGAAAGTTTTACTCCCACTTTCAGGATTAAAAGACTAGCTGAATACATCAATAATCAGTGTTAAATAATATATGGAGACTATAGTGTCATCAAAATATGTTATGATTAATCCTGTATAATAATAAATATCTTTAAGTGAAATGGAAGATGTTCATGCATAGTGAATAAAGCGAAGGTATTCCCATACTTGAGTCCCATGTCACAAATATATGGTAGAGTGGAGGTAAAGCATACATTCTTAATTTTGGAACTAGACAGAGGTAAATGGTGACCTCCATGCTCTGGAAGCTGTACTCCCAGAATAAGAGCCCCTGATGTCCAGTGGATAGGCAGCAGAGTGGGCTCCAGAGCAGTGCTGATATATTGGCAAAGAAAAAATCCCTACCTTGAACTGCTGTAATTACAGCACTTTTCCTTTCCTTTGACTGTATTAAAAATGCAATGGTAGACCTCGGATAATAATAATCCTGTTCTAGGTTTGAAGATGGAACCATACCATTCCTCTCTATTGCTGCACTGCATCATGGGTTCACTGTACTGAAACAACTGACAGGTGACATGGCTAGTGTGATGAATCACACATTTTCACTGGCTCGCTACCTTTTCCAGTTCCTTGTTAGACTTCACCATTCAAATGAATCTCCTGCGACCATCTTGTACTGTGACACAACTTATGAAGATGCTTCCACACAGGGAAATATTATAAACTTCAACATGCTTCGTCCTAATGGAGAGTATGTTGGCTTTATAGAGGCAAGTATCTCTAGTCTCTTGGTACAGCCTGTAGAACAGTATTTACACCATAAACTTATGTCCAAACTGAGCTGATGTAGACCCTATAACTTGTTTAGTATGAATGTGGTCAGGCTACAGCAAACGAGCAATGCGTACTTATATGTATAGTACAAGTGCATTAAAATAGGCCTTCTTCTCCCCCCATTTCACCTTACATAATCATATTCATAATTCATTTCACACTACATAAGCCATCCAGTAGAAGCATAACCTACAAATAATAAAAATGTCACTGAGCAAGCTGGCAATATACAGTCAACTCTCGATTATCCAGGGGCGGATTAACCAGTTTGCGGCTTAACCGGGGCTTTTTTGAGGCTTATATATTGTTTAATATTCACTTTTGTATCACATGGTGAGTTGTAACACTATTTTCGCACTAGTGTGAACCGAGCTCTGCATTCTTTGGTCCCGTTATGCTAACACAATGTTCTAGGGTAGGGGTGAAAGATTGCAAGGATTTGTGGAAAGTTTCAAGGACAGATACACCGCCCCAGTTGGTCTCTTTGTATCGATCTTCAAGTGCGTTAGCAAAATGTCAGGGTGTAAAAGGAAGCGTGTTGTGTTAAGTATTCAACAGAAAAAGGAAAATGCTGAGAAAAAGTAAACGACAATATTACATTTTTTTAAGTGTTAAGTGTGAATATTCGTACAAAGTGTTGGACGTTGTTGAAGACTGTGATTGAAATAACTAATTCACACTTCAGTGTTGTGTAAAAAAGTATTAAATAGGCCATGAGATGACATAAAAATGAGGTTGAATAAATTTAAATACAGGTAGGCCTATAGTATTATGAAGGTACAGTATTACAGTACTACTTTTAATAAAATTTGTCTTAACCGGGTTTTCGATTAATCGTGATTTCCATCCCCACCATTTTCCCGGAAAATCGAGAGTTGACTGTATGTGACATATTTGGGAGATGCCTGCTTCAAACCTCAGCCAGGAAACTGGCTATTCTGACCTAAGTTTTTATTGGTTTTCTTGTCCCACCGGTCAAATTCCAACCTTCATGTAGTCCATGATTGCTTCCATCTTTTCCAATTTGTCATCCAGTAATCCTTCTGCCATCAACAGTATGCAGTCTGAGTTACTGAAAGCATTGTTGAATAAACTGTAAATTAATTAAATTAATAAGAAGTTGGATCAAGCCAAGGAGGATGAGGTGGACAGGTCATGTAGCATGAATGGGGGAGACAAGGAATGCGTATAGGATATTGGTGTGAAAGCCAGAAGAAAAGAGACCACAGGGAAGACCAAGGCATAGGTGGGTGGACAATAAGAGAGATAGGATGGGATGGGATGGTATGGATTGGGTAGATCTGGCTCAGGATAGGGACAAGTGGAGGGCTCCTGTGAACACGGTAATGAACCTTCAGGTTCCATAAAATGCTGCAAAATTCTTGAGTAGCTGCAGAATTGGCAGCTCCTCCAGAAGGGCTCAGCTCCATGAGTAAGTAAGTAAGTAAGTAAGTAAGTAATAAGAAGTTGTGAGTAGAGCTCATCACCTACTTTCATTGATATGACACGCCCAACAGTTCTATATTGCATGTGTATTCATTGCCATGGTAACTTTTTTACCGAGCCACTGTGTAGCAACAACAGGGGAATACATGTATATACACAGACTGATGGCAAGGACTTATGAAGTACACCACTGAGATGGACTCGGGTGCCACTATACACATACCAAAATTCATCAATCATAAAGATTGATTCAGCCATTCAAAAGTTGATAAGGGGGTGATACACAGACAGTATGATGATTACATAAGCCTACTTTTATTTCTTCAAAATTAGGAAAGTATGCTAAAAATGTCCGCCATTTTTGTCCTCTGGCAGGCATAGATTTGAAATTACATGTGTCTTTCTGATGCAGGTACTGAATGTTGCTAATCTCAATGGTATTCAGCTGCGGACAGGTTGTTTCTGTAACCCTGGGGCCTGTCAGCGACACCTGAAACTATCAGATGATGATCTCAGGAGTCACTTTCAGGTATGCACATCACAGCTCATGGTGTACAGGATTTAACATAATTACCTTACATTTATTTGTGATAGTTGCTGTCAACTCCCCTATGACTAATTAACTGGACTATTTTGAGGTATTTTTTAGGCTCTGTAACATATATGTCAGATGATACAAAGACTAATAGAAAATCCTTATGACTTACAATTGGAGCTCTTCTGCTGTTATCTATATAAATGTAGAGGATGAAATAGTCGTATATGTTATAATTAAAATAAATAGGAGTTTGCTGAGTAGGTTACTGTAGCCGTAACACTCTGGACTTGCATTTGGGAGCCTCACTGTTCAAATTTTGATCTAGTTACCAGCTATTTAAGACATGACTATAATTTAATTTATAAATGTTTGTTTCCTTCAGGCAGGTCATGTATGTGGCGATGAGAGAGATCTGGTCAACGGACAACCTACTGGTTCAGTTCGGGTCTCTTTTGGTTACATGACAACCAAGAGTGATGTTGATAAGCTAATTAACATGTTGACATCATACTTTGTACAAGGCCCCCCAGTCAGAAAACTGCCTGAATGGTGGCCAGACTTCAAGCAGGCTTATATACAAAAATACCAATCTGTACTTCAAAAATGTGATGGACTTCTGAATGTAGACAGAGTAAAGACTCCCGCTATTGTAGATGGAAGACCAAAATTACAAATAAATGGAGATGCTGATGACAGTAATTGCATTTCAAATTACTTACAGTTAAATACAATGCCTCATGAAACAGTAGATGGAAGCAGCATCACAGTGACAGATATATATGTGTATCCTGTCAAATCGTGTGGAGGTATGCGCACAGATAGCTGGGTCACTGGATCAAAAGGTCTCCTGTATGACCGTGAGTGGATGGTGGTGACTCCAGCTGGTGTCGGTCTCACTCAGAAGCGAGACCCAAAACTATGCCTTATTCAGCCTAGTATAGATCTTAACAGCGGGTTGCTAATCCTGCGATTCCCAGGTGAGAGTCATATTGTTTTTAGCACTGATATATTCATGATTTATTTTATCCGTCTTCTAGTGCAGTCACAGGAGCGAGACGCAACACAGAGCACAATACACGATAGTGAAAGAGAGAGTGCTCCAACAGAGGATGATAGACGTGACTCGCGTAATGAAACACGACGTAGGAAAGAAATATGCTGTACAGTTTTAGTATTTTAACACTTGACATTTGTCAGTATATATGATAAATATATATTTTAGTTATTTTAGTATGTAAAGACAAGGCATGCAATGAATTAGTTTGTCGTGGATTGGATCAGCACCTGAAGATGGCACATTGGTGCCGAAACATGTAGTGAGAGTGAAAAGAGGGGATAAATAAATGTATGCACTAGAAGACGGATAAAATAAATCATGGACTTAAATCAGTGCAACAGGACGCTAAAATATAACATTACTGATATATTCATTTACACAAGCTATTCAACTGTAAACAAGGTGAAAATAGTGGGGTGAAATACAAAGGATTGGGGAGGGAACAGTTATGACCTGTGAGAGATCTGAGGTCTTCACAGTATTGACTATGCAGATTACTGTCTTCTGAGATGTGCTGCTGTGTAGTGTGGTAGAAGTTTATTAACAATTCAGAGGAGTTTTGCCTCCATCTTTAGGGAGATGGAAAATACAGACAGCAAGCTCCTCCAAAATGTTGGTAATGTGCAGGAATTTTCTTGTAAGAAGTAATAGAAACTTAAGGAATCCTCAGTCATGATGCTGTGGTTAAGGCTCTAACCCGGTCCTGCCGAGTACACCTGCTCAGATGTCAACAAATCCTTCCTATTATACAGAGATATTTACGTACACACTGCAGTGCATATACATGTAAGTTACATAAAGCACGTCATAATTTTTTTAGCGTTTTGAGTGTGGGGTTATTGGGATCATAAACAACAAAAGAAAAACTCCGTGGCCTGTAGTCCGCAAGCAAATTATACCAAGAGACCGCCGTTTGTCAGCGAAGTTAGTGCCAACTTTAGTGGTCAGAGGGTGTCGCATCATAAGCACAACAGATCCCCACAGTCATTAATCTCGGTTTTCTAGACCGGAGCCACCGTTTCCTTGAAATAGCTCCTGGACCCCGTTCCAGACCCACTACTTCTCAGACACTCTGGCAGCGCCGGGAATCGAACCTGTGACCTCTGGATCTCTAACCAGGAACTCTGACCACTAGACCACAGTCAGTTGGTTGTTGGGATCATAAATGTCTAATATATGTTGCCTAAATCTTAGGATTTTGAGGCATTGCAGAGTTATCCACTTTGCAACCAATTTATCGTTAAATAAGCTGTCAAATTGAATTTTTATGCATGATATGAGATGGTTTTTCTCTTGATCAAGGTCACTAATGAGGAAAATCAGAGGCACACCTACAATATGCTTATCTAGTTCAAAATGGCACTTCACTTTGCCAAAAAGGATGTTATGAAGCACATAAGAAGCTTTAAGTGTATGCTTACTCCTCATTTGGTGCATTCTGAGATGCTGAATAGTCTGCATATAAAGGAAATGACTTTTGTGCTTATTTTCTTTCCTGTTAACATATCTGGAAGAAGTTTGTCATTCCTCTTTGATTATATGTATATAATTAGGCCAGAAATTTGTAATAGATCTTTCTTTCCCGTTTCATATTACTTTCAATGCTTGAACACTGAATATTTAATGAATCCTTTTTGCCATTACAGTCTTAATAGTCTGTTTTGTTCTAATATAATTGCATCAGAGCTACACCTAACAGCCACTTTGACAGAATTGGTTTGGCTTATTATAATGGTTTTTGAAAAATAATTTAAAATACACTTAGTAACCATAATTGACTGTATTAATATAATCAGAAATATCATCAGAACACCTGACATGTATACCATAAAGTTTTATGATAGCAAATATAAGGCCACAGTTATAGAATAAAATGTAGAGTTGTAGTACTGTATAACTTCTTTCACTTGCAGAAATGCCACCAATATCTGTACCACTTGATGTTACCAAAAACCACAATGATAGCAGAGTGGAAACTTCGCTGTGTCAGAGTAAAGTGTGTGGAGACAGGGTCCAGGGATGGGATTGTGGTGATGATGTAGCATCATGGCTAAGTGATGCCCTAGGACGTCAAGGGTTGCGTCTGATTCAGCAGTCAGTTTGTGACTCAAGAGTGAGCAAGGGGAAAAATAAATTGACGGCACAAGGTCAGTATTACCCAGACTTCATGCTTATGTAACAGAAAATTGTCGCAACAAAATTAAATAATTATCATGCCTATAGTATAATCCAGGAAAACCAGGTGGGACTGAAATTAAACGGGACACATCAGCTGTTGGCCTATGCTGATGATGTGAATCTACTGGGTGATAATGTAGATACCATAAAGAAAAACACACAAACTTTAATTGAGGCAAGTAAAGAGGTTGGTCTGAGTTCATGGAGGTAGGCCTAGGCCCACTGGGGCTGTAGTGCCAAGAAAAAAAAAGAGAGGTTGGTCTAGAAGTAAACACTGAGAAAACTAAGTATATGTTGCTGTCTTGTCACCAAAATTCAGGGCAAAATGATGATATAAAGATAGGAAACAGCTGTCTTGAAAATGTGGCACAATACAGATATTTGGGAATGACGATAACAGATCGAAACCTGATTCAGGAGGAAATTAAGAGGAGATTGAACTTGGGTAATGCTTGCTACCATTCAGTCCAGAAACTTTTGTCTTCTTGTCTGCTGTCCAAAAACATAAAAATTAGACTATACAAAACTATAATTTTGCCTGTGGTTCTGTATGGGTGTGAAACTTGGTCTCTGACATTAAGAGAGGAACATAGACTGAAGGTGTTTGAGAACAGGGTGTTGAGAAGAATATTTGGACTGAAGAGAGATGAAGTGACGAGAGGTTGGAGAAAACTGCATAATGAGGAGCTTCATAACTTGTACTCTTCTCCAGGTATAATTAGAATGATCAAGTCAAGGAGGATGAGGTGTGCAGGGCGTGGGCCGGGCATGTAGCACGAATGGGGAGACAAGGAATGCCTATAGGATATTGGTGAGAAAGCCAGAGGGAAAGAGACGACTGGGAAGACCAGGGCGTAGGTGGATGAACAATATTAAAATGGATTTTAGAGAGATAGGATGGGATGGTATTGATTGGGTTGATGTGGCTCAGGATAGGGACCAGTGGAGGGCTCTTGTGAACATGGTAATGAACCTTCAGGTTCCATAAAATGCTGGGAAATTCTTGAGTAGCTGCAGAATTGGCAGCTCCTCCAGAAGGGCTCAGCTCCATGAGTAAGTAAGTAAGTAAATAAGTAAGTAAGTAGTATAATCACTCTAATCATATTTTTAGATAGACAATAAGACAAGGGTTCTGAACTAATGGTAGCAAGCATTTCAAAGATTTAATCTGCTTCTAAGTTCTTCGTGGATCCCATTTTGATTACTGTTATTCACAAATATGTGAACTTTGCCACTTCTGAAGGATTTGTTACCTCATATTTTGATTCTCTCCCTGCATTCCAGCGATGAGACATAAATACATAAAAGCTATCCCTGTAACAGGCAGTGGAGGCCCACAGAGTTGCCAGCTGTCGAGGCTCCCACATTTTCTAGACAGTCAGCTCACAGATGGCGGTGAGGTTGCCAGCCACACGTGCCATCTGCCCTTTACCCCCAGGAAGATTACTGGTACTCATTTCTGTTACAGGTTGAGTCAACCTGAGGGTCATAGTGCGGCTGGAAGGTTAGGTCAACTGAAAAATCTAGTGACATCATTGAGAACCGAACCCTGTGACCTCACAGCTTGTAGCATAATGCCTCAAGCAAATACACTGCCACGTGCCCTGACATAAATACATACTTAGTTTTATCTCTGTTTACTTCTATACTGACCTCCCTGGTAGAAGTAATAGAGCTTCTTCATTATTCTTTATGTTATTTATATTCTTGCTCAGCAAATTAACATCAGCATTAACCAGAAGCGGATATGTCCAATTCAACTTCATGCCCTTCATAGACCCTCCTAATAGCATATACTAAAGCAAAGTTAATAAGCAATGGCGATTAGGTATCATCTATTTTCAGACCACTGTGAATAGGAAATGCATCTGTCAAATGTTTACCAATAGCGACTGTTGTAGGTTTCATTTAAAAAAATTTTTAGGTAGCCTAGCCAACTTCATGGGCATACCATATTCAGCGAGAATGATGGATTCTTTCTTAATACTTGTGACGCCCTTAAGGATGTATGTCTGCTAGTGACCAGTGTTATATTAGTTTCTGCAGTCATGCCACATAATCAGTGCTTTATGCTTTATATGGTTGTCAGGCAAGAGACCATTGGCAGATATGGATTACTTTTGCACTGTAAAGGATAGTTCTTGTCATTTAGTAACCAGATCGTAGGCAGCTAAAACTGGATGGAACATTTTATAAATGAAAATTGAATATTTTTATCTGAAGGAAATGTGATAATAAATTTTTGTCCTTATTTTGTTTGGTCTCCTCAGACAGTAATGCAGAACCAGTTCTGTCACTGTCAAATGAAGCACAGTTCCTTCTTGTGAACAGAAGCAGTGTTGAGTGGCTCAGCAACCAACTTGACAAGGATCAGTGTGACTGCAATAAGGTACAAAGCAGTAATAAGCCGCAATATACTCCCAGATTATGTAACATTGAGTATATCACTGCAGGGAATGTGTTTTTGATTTCAGGAGACTTTACTGGAACGTTTCCGTAGCAACCTGGTCATACAGGGCTTGAAACCATTTGAAGAGAATGAATGGGCACACTTTCAGATTGGGGAAGTGAAATTCCAAGTAAGTTGGACCTGTTTCCTTTTGCCATTCTATACACTCAAATGAGCTTAACAGAGTCAGCAGTATTGCCAATGCACTAATACTTCAGAACATGATTTCCTTCACACTGGAGTTATTATTTCATACAAATAAAACAGAAGAATTACACGGTGTGACAATTAAGTTCCCGAACTTAGGCCATAAAAAACAACACAAAAAAAGAATAAATATTTATTAATACCATCATTCAGTATAATCCCCACCTGCTTCCACATAACATTTACATCGCTCATATAACAAATCAAATGCCCAAGAAAATGCTTCTTCCTGTAACGCCTCCAGCTCTCTTGTCAGTCTGCTGGATCGACAAAACAGCCTGGAATGTCATCCTTTTCATCGCAGTTTTTAATTTAGGAAATAAAAGAAGTAGCCAGCGATAAATCGAAGGAGTAGGATGCATGGGATAATACAGGGATCCCTCATTTTGCCAGAAACTCGGAGAGAATGCCCGATGAATGTACCAGGACCCACTTTCCTGAAACACAGGCCTAATGTGATTAACTATAGCAAACTTTGAATCACCTTTTTATAAAATTTACCGTTTACAGTTTGTTTTTCCAGCACAAATTCCTGATGAATGATACCTTTATCATCAAAAAATGCAGTCAAAACTGACCTTTCCATTCATCATCTCGTAATGATTTTCACCCTTCTTTGAATGTTTTATGCCTTTCAAATACACTTATTCTCAATATTTTGGAACTTAACTGTCACACTATGTAGTTCACTTAGTTACTTCATATCAAAGAACATGAACAAAAGGACAGAGTAACAGCATTGTACATGTCAAAGAACATGAGTATATGAGAAGACCGCACTAAAGACAAACATACAAGAGAAAGCAACATACAAAACTCTGATAGCCACGAAAAGAATACGATGACACAGTTCTAGATATGTGACATAACAACAAAAATACGACGTGCCGGAGCGCATGGAAGACAAGCGAACTGTACAGTGGTCTCCTCACCAATAAAAAGTTTGCTTGATGATGGCCCATGTGCTGCCGAAACATGTCACAAATTAGAAGAACATATGATATAAATTAAAGACATTCTAAAGTATTTAATAGTCACTTTTAGTGTAAACGATATACACGTAGTGTCTTAATGACATTTTATAACATTTAATAACTTTTTAAAGTATAAAAATTACATTTTTAGTGATGAACATGTTTTAGGTGTCTTTTATTTTATTTATTTTAAATATCATATTATTGACGGTGTACATATAATTGAATAAAAGAACATGAAGACCCAGTCACAGTAATGTACAGATCAAAGAACATGGACAGAAGGACTCATTCATAGCAATAAGAAGGAATACAATTAAACCGTTTTCATGTGAAAAGATAGCAGATGCAAGATTTATGAAGGTGTTTTTACAGTATTGAATACAGTCCTCTGAAGCAGCTAAATTAAGTAACTGACTATGTATGCAACTATTTCTGTGATAGTAGAACTACCATAACAGTACCATAAATACTGTGACGTGTTGCGCAATGGAGGACAACCCCTCACCCCGCCAGCGGTGATGTGACACTTTCGGAACATTGCCATCGCTATGGTAATAAGCCAGTCAACACCCCACCTTTCCCCGCGGTGACATAACACGGGATGCCGCCATTGCAGTAAACAACTCCCGACAGCGTTGCTAGCAACACGACGCCAGACAACAGTGGTGCCTATTACGTGGCTGTTTTCTGTGTTGTCCGGAACGAGGCTAAATAAGGAGCAGTGAAGACTATTCACAGTTAGTTCTCGAGTTACGAGTTAGTTCTCAAGTTCTTGAGTTTACGAGATAGTTACGAGTTAGCCCGGCAGTCAACCTTTCAGTTGCAGTCTAGCATTTGTGATACTGCCGATGGCAGTAATCGTGAGATTGTAATCTGTGTGATTGTAAGAGCGAATGTAAAATAAAATTTGCTATATCAAATATGGCGTGAAATTATTTGTCACGTTATACACCAACACGTGACAATATAAACTAATAATTATACCATCAGAACTTGAAGAGATTTCTATACAATTTTAGTAAAAGAAAAGTGGGGAATGATAATGGAGTAATTACTACATCACATTTATTTAACAAGCACCATGGCTGCACCGTACCTCAAGCGGTTAGTCGCTGGCTTCCCACCGCGGCGGCCCAGGTTCGATCACGGGTCTGGTCAAGTGGGATTTGTGGTGGACAAAGTGGCGCTGGGGCAGGTTTTCTCCGAGTACTTCGGTTTCCCTTGCCAATCTTCATTCCACCAATTGCTCCACAATCACCCACACCTATCATCCGGGGCTGGTACAATAGACCAGAAGTGGCCGCAGTACAAGGGACTTAGTCCCACCCCACTAGCAATAAAAAAAATAATAAGCACCATTTAAATGTTTCCATTTGAAGCTAACAATATTCAATGGCCTGTATAGACTATCAAGTTCTTCATTATGTAATATCCTAAGAGCCCTCTTTCCTCCTTCAGACATCATTACATTTTGGGCTTATCCTGAATGCAGAATCAAATGGTTATACATTATAGACTGCGAAGTAACTAGACCACAGTCTGTTCCAAATTGGACTGAATTTCTCACAGACAAAATCTGAAAAAATTTTGGTTTAACATTTCAACTTTCAGTATCAATTTAAAAATTTTAGCGATGTGGTTAACGGGGCACGCGGTATCATAGTTGGTTGAGGCACTATGCTACAAGCCAAAGGGTCGTGGGTTCAAGTCCCGATGAGGTCATTGGATTTTTTTTCAATTGACCTAATCCTTCCAGCAGCACTATGGCCCTGCAGTCAACTCAGCCCAGGAATGTTCCTGGGGGTAAAGGGCAGCCGGCGCGTAGGGTTGACAACCTAACTGCCATCTTTGAGCCAATTGTCTAGATAATGTGGGACCCTCAATGTCTCACAACCCTATGGGCCTTCACGGCCTGTTACAGGGATAGCTTTACATACTTATTTTATGTGACTGAACAGCGAAAGGTGATGGTCAAAACTGACTGTTCATAATCACATTTTTATGTTCTATGTAAACACACAAATAAAAAGAAAATAACTGACCTTGAGAGGTTTGAGCTGTCTTTCTATCATTACCACCCAAATCTAGCTCGAGATGTAGTTATTTGTGACTTCTTTCCCAAACTTTACTATCAGATGAAGTGTTAAAGGAATTTGTCTTCAGTTTTTCCTTCATACAAGTTAATGCAAAAGATCTCTTGCTATACACGTGTGTTTGTGTACCCTTCACATTTCTGGTATGCAGTCCATCTAGGCCCTAAACAGACAACATATAGCTAAATATGTCCCATGTGGAGGCAGGTTAAGAGTACCTCCACCATAGCCCTGTGGGAGAAGGCAACGAAAGGGGATGATGATAGCTGAATATATTCATGGCAGAATAACCAGAAAGAATAAAAATGCATACATAATAATCTCAGCACCTAACAATTTCAGAGTCTAAATGTAAGCCCATATTCATAAATTTCTAGCCTAATGTTTACATATAACATTTAAGAAATGCAAAAAGTTAAAAAAAAACAATTTTAAATTATCTCTGTTTACATCCTTAATAACTAGTTTTGCATATAAACAAATCATTAGATTGATGAGCTAGAGATGTCCTCTTTACCGTGGATGTTATCAGTTATATTTGTCATTCACATTGTTTGAAGAACAGCAAAAATATGCTGTAAAAAGAAAGATGATTCATAGCCAGAATGAAAACCGGAAAGGCAGCTGACTTGAAATGAGGAGCCAAACTTCTAAAATAATATTTTGTTACATGAAATAACATGAACTGCTCTTCAGTTAAGTTCACATGCATAGAAGGTAGGATAAAAAAGTTTGTTGATAATAACCTTTGCAGTTGGTGTTAAGTACCCTGTGAAGTAACTAAACAGTGTTGATTGTTATCATCCTGTAGTATATAAGTCGTCCTTCCAAGATATAATCAAAATGAATTCTTGCTTTCACCTTGCAGTCAGAAGGCTCATGTACACGCTGTCAGATAGTCTGCATTGATCAGACAACTGGTGAGAAGACACGAGAACCTCTGAGAACACTTGCAGCAATCTTTCATGGCAAGACAAGATTTGGAGTGTATTTAAGTCAAGTATCAAAAGGAAATATGAATATTTCAATTGGAGATAAAGTAAATATTCTCTGAACCTAATGGAATATGCCAGTAAAATCTAAAAGTTTGTGACGATGGTACATTATTACAAATACTATGTTTCTAAACATTATCCATCATCCAGAAACATAATATTTGGAATAATGTCAGGTAGTCATAAAATCAGAGATGGGTTTCCTGCCTTTCAGACTCAGTAGACAGATTTCATATTGTCGTTAGAAATTGTAATGGATGCACTGAAGCATTCTTAAAGGCAAGAGTGGTAAGATGGATATTTATGTCTTTTGTTCCCAAAAATGGGTACATTCTTTATAGTTCTTCAGAAAGGCTTACTGTAAAAATATTTTTATTATTATGTTTTTATATTTTGTTAGTGAACTGCATTACAGTGGGCTTCTCTGGTGCTATTTGATGAACTAATGAACAGCCATTCTTCCCAATAATCAAACACTCAAAACTTCTACTTAGTGAAGAGTCCCCTGAAAGTATGGTTTATCTGATATTTAATCTAAAAACTTCATGAAAGATTCAAGTTATATAACTATTCCCTGCTCTAACCTGAACAAAATGCACTATTCTTAGTAAGTTAGAGCTTCTGTGTTTGATCTTTGCAAAGAAATTGGTACTTAAACATACATTTAAATGAGTGCCTTATAAATACAACTGTATAAAATCTTTTGTACATTTGTGCACATCACAGTGTGAAAGGTAATCTCCAGGCTCATTTTACTGATGCCTGTGAATAAAATGTTTTCTTATTAAAGACAAAAAAAAATACTTGCAAGTTATGCGTAAATACAATTGAAATGTACCAACATGTGAGATGTGATGCTATATACTCTGGTAGAAGTGTATCACTGTTCCTCTGAAACGTTGGTAATCTTCTACCAGACTACACAGTGTCACAGCCCACAAGACAATGTTCTCCATAGTCAACATTATGAGACCCCAGATCTTACAATGTGCAGGATTAATTCTGACCTAACAGACGCAATTCAGCTGTGAGGGATGTACAAGAACATGAAAGAATTTTATGTTGTTTTAATTTGCCTAATGTAAAAGTCCAAGTACCCTGGACGTAAAGTTTTAAATGCAGATGTTGAGTTAGACTGGGCTTATATGAGGGTTTGAAAGAAAGAACACATTCTTCCAAATGCAAAATATACTGTAACCTTATAAAAGGTTAATCAACTCCATCCAGTGTGACTGATAAAATGTTTCTTTTTTCTTTCCTTTTTAATCTTTCACCCTTGACATGTTTCGGTCTGAGAGACCACCTTCAGAAGGATATATCAGTACAGGCAGAAACTACTATCACAATGTGTTTGGTCAATATCAATACATACACACAATATCATCACAATGCCATCAATATAAAAGCTGAGCCTTTAGCAACTGCAGCAACGTGCGTGAATACATTGAAATATTTATAAACTATTACAATTTGTCTGTTTACAATTGTGGTTTAAAAAGATTTTGTTAAAATTTAGAACCAATTTGGTTCGTGTCCTTTATACTGCCTCTCTTTAAAGGAAGTTGAGTGTCTAACACCCCTTTCCGTTGTTTGATGAATAGGACTCTGCAAATATATTATGCCTATAATGTAGTATTTCCATAATCCCAATTTTATTTAAATGTGAGCTTTTGTTATTTTATATCCTACCTTTAGTGTTGTCCTGTTGTTTGGGCCACACTGTGTTGTTATGCTGTTCAAACGTGTGTTGAGTTGCATATTTATACGTCTTGTGCCTTATGACATTTGTGTGGGCGTGTACTGATGTTTTATTATGATGTCAAACATAGTACACTGGTTAATGTATTCATGCAAATCGCTGTAGTTGTTAAAGGATCCAATTTTATATTGATGGCATTGTGATGATATAGTACGTATGTATTCATATTGACCAAATACGTTGTAACAGTAGTTTCCACTTGTAGTGATATATCCTTCTGAAAATGGTCTCTAAGACCAAAATATGTCAAGGATGACATATTAGAAAGGAGAGAGAAAAAAAACTGTTATCAGTCACAATGGATGGAGTTGATTAACCATTTACAATATTGCTAGTGTGACAGACCAGGATGAACCAAATCAAATTTACTATTACTTGTTCCTGTAACAGAAAGTATCATCAGGCACTGTTACTTTCACTGATACTGGTACAGATCTGTGGCTGCATTAACTCAGTATTTGAACTATTTTCATCAAAACTGCCATTCACCAAGAAAAGTGAAATAAATATTCATTTGACTTACATTTCTAAATCTTTACATTTGTAGTATTTAAGAGACAATTTCGTAATGAATCAGTGCAGCCAGGGGTCTGAGAGTATAATGAATTATTATAATAATGGAATTAAGAAAGTTATCATGTGCACGGTTAGTGATTTCTATTTTTATATATTCACAAAACTGTTTTTTATTTATTTGTATAAGTTAAGCACCTCAGTGTAAAGTGCACATGCCACTACAAAAGTTACCATATTTGGTGCATGTAAGATACTATATTGCATTTAATGTCCTCTTTGTTCAATCTTCACGTAGTCTCTAATTTCATTATGCATGACAGGGAACTTTATTATGTCAGGACTATGATCACCAAAGGAAAGGTCATACAAATATGTTTTATGTTCCAAATATAACATATCATCAATTCTTCCTCATCCCTATTGATGTTAAAATTACTTGTCAGATGAGATTAGCATGAGTTTAATGTGTTGTAATTTATTAGTCCTGTGTTATATATTCTGCACTGTTGTGTTTTATTATTAGACATCATGCATCATTGCTGCTTACTTTTATGATATGGAAACTAGAATCTTGAAGTTTATGAACTGAAATATGTTAACCGCTTGCTATGCATGTATCCTAAGCAATCAGACCGATTCATTTAATGTAATACCATGTTTTGGTATATTAATCAGGGCACAGACTATTGCACTGTATTTTATTGCATGAGCTAAAGCAAAAGGTTAACAGTACCAGTCATGTACACATTTTCAAAAAGAGATTTTTGTCATTTTATTTTCATGTTGAATTCTTCAAATGGCTTTCCTGGGTCACTGTCCAAATACATATGTGATTCAGTGACTCACTAAATGTAATATCATCCCTGTTTGCCTAGCTTATCATACAGCCTAGTGTGCATGAACATTTTATAAAGGTTTTTTTTTTCAGTTTTATTGTAGTCTGTTACATGAGAATGGTGAATGCTCATCTTCTAAAACGTACATGTGCACAGTTGTTTAGAATCAAACACCAAACTGATTTGAGGAAACAACTTTTTAAAAGCAAAAAAGAAAAAATCTTGAACTACAAGTAAAACTGCTTACACTACAGAATTTTGAAATCTTCAGATTATTTTATAGAGCAGATAACATGTCTGCAATAAAATGTACAAGTACTTCCATTTCTTCACAGAAAACAGATAATCTGCCACCTCAGGTTGATAGTAAGATTGCAAAGGCCTGTTTCAAATATATTTGCCAGTAAACCCTGTATTTAACTTGAGGTCTATAATGTACCTATGCAGTTTCATTTTCTTAGGATATATTGTAATACTGTTGCCATACAAGCAGTAGTCTACTTTTAATGTTTGAGAGCCCACAGTCATTTTTCATTCAGTGCTACATAGCCCTTGCAGAAGTTGCAGCTTTGCGGAAAAAAAAACTCTAAATAATATACCCACCTCCAACACAGCTGTATAAATATGTGAGCATGACATATATCACTGTTAATGGGAGACAAATTCCTGCAATCAACTGTGTGTATATTGGAGTGTGATGCTATAACTTAAAATCAGTTAGTTTGTTTTGATTTATTTTACCACAAGTCTTAAAATCTCACAGGTCTTTTCTGTTCTTAAAATGCTGAATCTTGAAAGAGATTATTAACAAATTCTGTTAGGCTTTAATCCCATTTTATTTTGATCCAAATTTGGATTTACTGTGTATGATTCACAGAAATTGTTTGGATCCTGAAAATACTGTGTATACTTTCTATAATTTATTTAACTGATGGGAAAAATATGATATTGTTTTATAAATCAGTGAAGAGAGTAGCAGAATTACAGCTTATGCTGTAATAAAGCATAAATACTTCATCTTTTAGATTTGAGTGATACTGTCCCTACTGAGCAAGTTGGCTGAATCACTGATGACTTGTATTCAAGAGGCAGGCAGTTTGAATCTCAAGACTATGATTAAGGTTTTTCATGGTTTTCCTTAGTCCTACTGGAAAATGGCAGTATACTTCCCTTAAATTAGGACATGACCTCTTCCTTCCGCATACTTTCCTATTAATTATTCACTATAATCAAATCAGCCAACACTATACAGTCAAAGTTACTGACAGCCTTGTTAAGTAAAGTACAAAATAAATAAATAAATGACATAGTTGTTAATACTAGTGTTTAAAATTATGAAGTTCCTGATTTGTTGAACAGAACTGATGTCCCCTATAAATGGAAGTCCACTGTGCGATCATAACATCCACTATTTAGCCTTCTCTCTTTCTGAAAGGCTTAAACCCATTCACACACTTTTTACTGTTAGCTTTTATACAATGCTTTAAGGCGAATCATGACAAATGCCTTTCGCTAGGCAGAACACTACGAAGAAATATGCATTTAATGTAACTCTTTCACCATAGGCGTGGTGTATTAACTTGTCACTGCTCAGAACACTGTCTTAAAGAATGAAGCCCTCAGACCAGGAGACAAAGAATTAACTCTTAGTGTCCTGCCTTGTGTGTACATTGGAACACATAACAGCCATGCTACCAGTCAACTGGCATTTTTGGGGGTTTTGGTCTTATGATCAGATATGGTTTCCAGGTTCTCTAGTGCACCACTTATGGAGACTACAGTGTTTTAATGGTTGAACAGTTCCAAGACAAACAGCGTAGGGAGTATATTATTTCTAGTCACTTTATGGCCCTACTTTTTATTCACACATTTTAATGTGCTGTTGTTAATTTTATGTTGTATGCACTGTGACTTCAGAGTACTGGATAAGCATATATTTTTATAATTATGTTTTGTGAGTTTATATATTTTATATATATTGTTTACTGTTGTGGGCTTCAGTAGGGGAAAATTAGCATTCAACATAGATGTGATAATTTGAGTTAGAAATAGGTCAACTATTATTGGCTTTAAATTATAGATGTTTCGTACCCTAAAAATCACCATTTATGTCACAATCTCACACAGAGATGGCACAAAGAATTTTCTTCAAAGCACCCATTTAGTTATTGCTCTGCGACTTATTAATGGTTTACACCGGCAGAATTTTCTTGCAGGTACATGTATTTATTTAATCAGACCTGTATACAATGATGTGAGATATTATTTTATTAGTTTGCAACATATTACAGTGAGGAGCCGCGGCAGCATACCTGGTATAGTGACTGGCTATGGGCTTGATGATTGAGGGATTGGAGTTCGAGTCCCGGTAGGGTCAACAATTTTCTCTTCTCAAAATTGTCCAGACCAGCTGTGAGGTCCAGCCAACCTCCTATCCAGTGGGTACCGGGGGACTCTTTCCCTGGGGGTAAAGCGGTAGGGGTGTGAAGCTGACCACTCACCTCCAACTAGTGCCAAGGCCAAGAAAATGTGGATCTATACATCCACTCCCCCATACGCCTTCATGGTGTAGTGCTTAATTCGTTGAGCACAGGGACTTTACCTTTTTTTTACCTTACATATTACAGTGGCACAAGGAGTCTGTAAGAATTATGTTGTATGCATTTTAAGCTTAGATATGTATTCCAAGATGTGACACAGGGTTTTATGAATTTGAAATGTACTTTGTGATTTATAGCATTTTACACTTGCAAAGAAATACCCCTTAAGAACTTTCTTGTAAGTACTTAATAAATCGCATATGTATATGAAAGTAAACTGTGTATAAAATATCTCTGAAGGTGTGTCTTCATCCAAGAGTGATGCAAATCATTATGGTATCTTTAGAAACTTACTAGATTAGGTTTTCAGCGTACAACGGTAACCAAAATCACCATACCAGGGATCTCACTGGATACAAAGAACCATTCTTCCTATGGTTGCCTATTCAGGGTATGACAGACCTTCAAAGATATTTCAGACAATATGTGACATGGCTCTATGACTTCTTTGCACATAAATGTTAGTGAGATGTTGACTATGCAAAATGTTATACTCTTCAGATATTCTATTGTACACCAGTGGGAGGTTGTGTAATGGCTAAGAACACAGACACACCTACTTTTGTTGTATGTATTAGTGCTCGAAACTGAATAAAACGCCTACCATACCAACATCTATCATTTCACTTTCACTGGCATACCCTTTCCCAAAATGACTTCAAAGATAATGACCAAATGAATGACTTTCCATTTTATTTTTGGCATAACCTAAACAATTCCGTCCTTTAACATACTGGTATTTTTGAATACACAAAACGTTTTATCCAAAATAAGACACATTCATGATCTGACACATTATCAAGTGTCACAAGACTGCCTACATCAGATATTGTGAGCAAGTAAATGTTTCATGGTGAACTGTGGCACTGAGGTGACAATAATACCATAACCTTACAAAAAGTTTACTGAAAGCTGAACCATTTGAGCCATGCGTCTTACTTAGGCTCCGTTCAGCGGCTTCTCTTCCTACCCCCCTTTTTTCTTCTTCTTCCCCTTGTGTCTAGAAAGTTCTTCCGTCCTGCCCTATCATGTGATCCCCCCCCTCCAACTGGTTCTGCTTTTATGGTAACTAGTAGGGTAGGCAGAGACGTACACTCTAGGACGAGACGTCGGGAAAGGAGGTAACAAGCAAAATTCTTTTTTTGGGCGTGGCCAGTCTAAATTCTGTTTGGATTGTTTCCCATGAAGGTTCACGAAAAGGAATAGCCGTATTGGTGGTCTGGGGCTATATACATATCTATATTTACATTTTTCTTGGTTGGAAACTATTGGCTTATTATTTTCTTGGGTGACGATGTATTCATATATTTGTAGGCAAGCTTAAAATGTTAGCTAAACTTTTGTGATCTATTATTTGTACTGTCCTGAGAGTTATTGTACTGTACCATATTATACTTGTTATATTAAACTTTTGTACTGCTTGGACATCCCTTGTATCTCGGGGAAGTAATTAGACGCAACAACGAGAACTAGG